GCTAGAAATTTGTTTTCTTTAAAATGTGCACCGTTACCTGTTCGGTTGGGTTCTTACATTTAAAAATAAATTCCTTCAACGTATTCGCCTCGCTGCCGCCCGCCATTAAACAGTTTGGCACTAAATCGCAATGTATCATGGGATAGGTTGGGCCTGGGAAGATCCACCTGGTGGAGCCTCTGTTGCCTGGAGGGTGAAAGGACATATTTGCCAGCATTTTGATGAAGCCACTGTCTTTAAATGCAACATCCAAAGGAAGCGGCCTCTGAACTGAAACACAGCTATGGTTTCAAAAAGATGGCGCTGGACTGAATGGCAAACTCAAGGCTTCAGAACAGCAGCTCACAAAACGTCTCTGTGGATGTTTACTGATTTTGTGCAGAAGCTGAAGAGACATTGAAACCTCATCTATTCTGACTTTACATCTGTTGCTGCAGATTAAAGTGTCCACTCTTTTTGTGGATGATTCCCATGAAGCATCTTTAGTAACGTCCACTGACAATAACTCCTGACACACCACATTGCTGTCCTGGTTTGACTCAGGAGATTTTCAGAGGGATTCGATAATTAGAACATTCAGGCCCATGATTCTTTATCTCAGATGAGACCTAAGTGAGTGTGAAGTCTCGCGGGGGACCAGAGAAAGGATTGTTTTTGTATTTTTTTTCTGTCATGTCGCTCGCCCCTTGAGCGATTCTGTAGTTGAGATGTTGGCATGTGTCAGCAAAATGTCCCTAAATAGGGCAGAGAGAAAGAAAGAGAGACAACAGAGTGGGAGACGATGAACCTCACCATTATTTTAACACTGAATACAGTCGGCATGGGAAGGACGTCTGCGAGGTCAAAGGGGTGAGGGGGACATGGAATGTGTGGGAGGTGTCCCTAGACGATTGGGTAGTCTGTGGTTTCATCACACCATTGAGTGAAAGAGGAGCAGGAGGAAGGACTTCTAGAGGAGCAATAAAGGCGACTCGAGGGAATTAAATCCAATCTTAATGTCTTCATTTATCACTCCTCATGGCTCTCTTAAAATGAGGATGAGGTTTGATGACCTGCCCGCAGACAATCACCTGACCACATCCTACGTGTCATTCAATGCTGTTGATAGAAGCCCCCATGAAACAGCTCTATGAAAAACTCAATGCCACCTACACTGAATCTTTTAAGTTAGAGCCCTGTCTGACTGAGGAGCCCCATAATGCTAAATGGCAGCAACAATGCCAACCACTTATAAAAACTTTACACAACAGCAGCTTGTGCATAAATATGGCAATCGCTAAGACTGGCAGAAACCCTCTGGAGCGTCTTTTGTCTTGATAATTGGCTGCGCCACCAGAGCGGTCCAGACTCTCCACTGAGCTGCTCATCAGGATCTACATCAGGAGCTTACTCTTTGTTTCAAAGTCATATGGTCAAGATGCATTTCAAAGACTTTAATTTGCTCCGTTGACAACAGGCTTTGAAATCTGTTGTTTCTGCCTCACTAAAGCCCTGAGCCGAAATCTGAAAAGTGGCAAATTAAGCAAATAGGTTTAGTTCCCGCAGAGAGATCAACTTCTGTGAAAACTAATCACAATGAGCAGCGGCTGACGACCATCTCCTTCTGGTAGGAGGAGATGGACTGAAACGTGTCACAACTGCTGTCACATCTGTACTACGGTAATGCCGTCCTTGTACTCTCTGCCCTTGTTTCCCTACTAACAAGTTATAAAGTGGCTGTCACTCTGTGTCGAGCTCTGGTTGACAGACAGGGCTGAACAGATGAATGTAAAAAGCCGCTCTGCAGGGTGAGCGACTGCGTGACATTGTAATGTAATTAAGAATATTGTGTGAGCATGGAAATCCCTGTTTGTGCATGAGTCTCCTTCAGGTTTTCCTTATGCTGCTGTATGTGCCATCATGACAAGAAGCTGGAAATGGTTGCTATGCTTTCAAGTAGCACAAATACTAAACAAATACCTCTTGTTCTTATTTATAATCACAATTGTAGTTAACCCTGCACCTTTTAAAGCAACACTGGATAAGAAATGCCATGACGTGAATAAACCAGTGCAGAAATTAATCAAATATTTAAACACTTAGCTGACATTGAATTCTACTCAATTGCTGCAAATATTTTATTAATAATAAAATAAAATAAATATCCAAAGTAAAAAGAAAAACTACGAAAAGAAAAAACTACTTCATACCTTAATGAAAGATGTAATGTTTATCAATAGAAGATCATACTGAAGGGTTTAGATTGTAATGTAGTTGAATTGCATTAATCTGTTTTGTGTTGTGTTTCTGTCAGATACATACAGATATCTCTTAGTATCACACATGGTTCAACAACACAAAGAAACAGCCTGCACGTTCTTTGAAATGAATATATACTACAATCTCCGTTTTGAGTTCAAGAAGAACACTATTAACTTTGTGCTATATTTCCTGTTACACTGACTGTACTCACTTTCTCAAGTTGTATTTTGATAAAATTAGGACATCAGAACATTTCCTTAGGCTCTAAGTGAACCATTCCCAAGTGCATCTGACAATCTGTGTGTTGAACCAGTGAGTGGTTCTTCCTGCAGCCGGCTTGTAGACGGGACTTCACTATCAGGATGATCACATTCTGAGACTTGCAATGTTTGTCAATCACCCTGCAGACACTCTAAAGTGTTACAGGAAGGTGAGATCTAAAAACAGCACTTTTCTGTTTGTGTGTGTGGTGTCAGTGTGTTTCTAAGTTAGCAGAGCTTCATGTAACTCTATTCCCATTTTACATTGCTCAGTCATGACTCCATTTACCATGCAGGGGAAAAAAAGCCCCATCGAACTCACTGTGCTCAGATGAATACTGATGAGTTACTGTAAAACTGGGTGGGGTATTTTTCAGAGAAGATGACGTTTGGGCAAAAAACAGCTTCTTCCTTTAGACTTAGAATTATCTGGCCTTAATTTTTTCTGAATATTTGGAGCATTAACAAATTTGGCACTAATAACTCAGGTTTAATTTTGTCAGAGGAGATGAAGAAGCTGCCTGCTGGGTTAGACCCCCCGCCCCTCCAGAAACCATGGCTAAATGCATGAGGGAGTGACGCTGATGGATTGTGGCAGATCACACCCATGACAAAGTGCAGTGTGAAGTGTAAATCTGCGTTTGTTGTCTTTATGATTGGTGACTGTGTGGCTGCCTGACAGTGGCTGCCATTACTGACTCTACGCACTCAGGCTCTGACAGCCGCCACAGCCGGCAGCTACTCTTCCTCTCCACGTTAATAGTCATCTGCATTCACTGGGATAGACCCGCCACAGACAGACAGAAAAGCTGGGAGTGATTACGAGTATGTGTGTGTGTGTGTGTGTGTGTGTGTGTGTGTGTGTGTGTCTCAGAGTATCATGCCTCTCTCCATGTCTGCCTTCACTATGCATATGTATGCGTGGGGGTGTTGTGTGTTTGTGCCACGAGTGACATAGTATCTAAAAACCGAAGCTTCTCCTTGACGTGTGGGTGAAGTTTACACTTGCTGTGCATTTCATTGACCTCGAAATTGGCAGTGATCAACGTGGTGCTCAGAGATAAGCACATCATGTTTGTCATTTATGAGGATCAAGTTCGAATCCAGCCCTCGCCCCTTCGCTGCACATCATCCCCGAGCCTTTCCTGTCACTGTCTAATAAAGCAGAGAAAGGCCAAAAGAAAAGCACATCATGAACACGCTGCTTGGAAACTACTAAACTACCATAGAGGGTGGATTGCTTCATTTTTGGTTGAGCGTCGCCTTAAGCGAAAGAGTTTAAAAAGTCTTTCACGCCTACAAAATAACCAACGGACAAAAATGAGTCCAACCAAACGAGGCAGTCTCAGTCCACATCAATCTGAACTCTGTTTGTTTGGAGTGTGAGAACACTTTTTGGACAGCGTTAAACAATAGAAGGAGAAAAGGAAACACTGGATTTATTGCATTCTTTGCCTCTGACGCTATGTTTGACTACAAGGATGATCATCATTTGGCTCATTCTTAAGTGTCCGGTACTGCGCCTGAAGTCGGGATGCTGGTGGTAATTCCATAAAGATATTACATCATCAACAACATCATCAAACAGGACGTATGTTCTTATGTCTTGACAGGTGGATTAGTCTGTGCACTTTTCCACAAATGTCAAATACAGTCAGGAATTTCCACTAATGAATATTTTTGTGCTAATTGAAGCTAATTTTGTCAGCAAACAAAACGTCCCAAAGTTCAGACCTCATTATTGCCTCAACATAATTATTGCCTTGCAACTAAAGCCTGATGTTGACAGTCATAATGACAGTTTGTAAACTTTGTGTAATTACACACCGTTGCATAAACCACCGTTTTTCCACATGGTGGAAAACTTGACAGAGACGTGGCCCAGAAATGACCTCTCTCATTTACAAAACCACAAACAAACAGGCCTGCTCTCGACTGTTAGCAGCAAACCACAGAAAGAACCGACATTACTCAGCCTCTGTGATATCAGAACATGAAACCCTCAGTTGCTTCAGAATCCATTGTTACAGACTCGCCAAGCAAAAGGGCAGTGGCCTCTTCCTGCCTTTTCTTTCTCCCTCAAGTTTTCTACCTAAAGCGTCCCTTCAACCCCTCCTCTCCAGCCTTTCTTTCATCTATCGCATTTTCTGCCCCTCAGAGACCTTTCACAGAGGCAAACAATCCCATCAGTCGGTAACGCAGCGTGTCCGCTGGCCACACAGGAAGCTTTTGATTCCTGCTGGAATGTCCTGAGCTTTGGAAAATGGTCAAACTCTGTGGACACAATGTTTGTGTTCCAGCACAAAAGAAAAGCTTAAAATCAATCCAGCATGCAAGGTCACTGCTGACAACCTCATCATGTAATTGTAGACAGAGTGCAGCTGAGCCTTATTTTGGATCAGCGCTTACACAAGTTAACTGAGACTTCAAAGTGAGTAACAGACTAAACAGGAAATGAGTCAAATAAATTGTCTAATAAGACGAGAAGGAGTTTCTCACCGAGTTTAGGTCCAGGCTGGTCTGCACCCACTCCTTGGCGTCGTTATACTCCTCCATCAACCCCATTATATACAGTGTGTCCAGTGAGTCAATGATGGATGCTCCTCTCAGGCCACCTGCAAAAAACAGTTGAGTCCAGTTAGTGCCTCATCAAACACACGTGTCGCTCAGATGATGTTTCCTTTGAAGATTCCTTCAACCAGATTCGCATTTGCATCAAATATGTTCATTCATTTAATAAGACTCAAAAGAGGAAAGAAAGGAACGAGTGCAGTGAATAATAGGCTGTTATGTAAGTCGAGCTCTTGGAAGGCAGATAAACTCTCAGATTTAACCCCAAACCTTTTATGTTCTGATTAGCAACGGTAACTCGATAGTATCTGTGATAAGAAAAAAAGTCAAACATAAAAGTCCCTCACATGCTGAGCTCCAGTAATCACTGTAGAGATGTTGAACTGTGATACCTAAACAGATTTGTAAGGCCCAGATGAAACGCAGCTTCTCACTGAGACTTAAAGTATCAGCTAAAAAGCGTGAGCCACTGTAACAAGAAAGTCGAGTCACGGTGCCATCTGCAATTGCCACTGGCTAACACTCATTGTGATGTTGAGCCCAGAACAGAGCGATGATGGCGCTCTGTTGTCTTATAACCTGCCTGAAGTGGATGATCCAGCAGAACACAAAACAAGCAACATGACGGTGGAGTAGTGCTCGACAATATGAAGATTATATCAATATAAAAATTGTATTTCAGTCGATATCGATAATCGTGAATCACGTATCTTGATGAAAATGGGGGATTGATGAGTGTGTGCAATTTGGTGCAGATCCAAATGAAAACCCGGGTCTAGTGAATTTAAATGTGGTTTTATGAGTGGACCTCGGTGGAAGTATGCACTCTACTGAGTTCCATTCTAGTTATGGATATCGTTTTATATTCGAGTATAAACCTGCACAAGAAATGTGCCATTTCGGAGCATATTTTTATTATGTTGTGGATAATTTCTTTTCAAATTATTTCCTTTATTACGTCAACACATTTCTTTGTGCTTTCAGTCTGTAATGGACACACCACTTTGATAATACCCCTCCCCACCCACCACCACCACTCACTGTTGTTGCCTGTAGCCATCGTCATATATCCATTATTCCAAGAAGCCAAACCCATTTGTAGTCATTCATTTCTTTTCAAAAAAGAAATGGAAAATGCTATGGGGTGTTTATCCCATCCTGGTGGTCTTATGAGAGATTTCACAGCCTATTTTCATAAATATATGACCAAATATTATGCAAATGCAGCTGAAACTCACAGAGATAGACACAAAGGAATAATAACACACTGTCCTTAATGAATTAATCTAAAAAAAAAAAAAGAGTTCAAGGGCAAATTATGGTTGAGAAGTTTAATAACAACAAACTGTGACTAAATAGGCACTGAAACAAACTGCTTGCAGGCATACATTGTAGATTATGTGGGGAAAATGCAATAGTGTGGAAACTGACTTGGTTAAATGAGAAAAGTGATGAAAAATCCTGATGTTCATCCCTGAGAACAACGTAGCCTGGAGTCGATGGCTGGATTGATCTGATGCAACCACACAGCAACCTGACACATTAAAGTCTTTGGTTTTTATCTGGAGTTGATGTTGCACCAAAAATTTTAATGACAAGCAGACCTTTGGGCAACAAAACACAAAACGAGGAAATAAAACAAGGATCCTGCTCTATTATTCTGTCACTAGCTTTTTTTTGTTAAAAATATTAATGATAAACTGTAGATTCCATGAACTGTTGGGATGATTTTACAATCTTTTAACTTATTGATTTTGAATTATAGCCTGATAACAGTACATCACAACCATGTCTTTTAAACAGCAGGAAGCTCTTTTAGGAAAACAAAGCTCTAAATTCTGATTGCCAACATCCTAATGGTATCCAGACGAAGTTAACAACTAGATGATGAGCACAGTCGAGCATTTAACAAGATGTTTCACTCTGGAGTTTGTAGATCAAAAGCAAAAATGCACATTTCAGTTCCTGCACAATCTGGAACATGAAAATATTTCTCTGTATCTGTAAATCCAACTGCTCACAGGCTGACATTTATTTTAAATGATGCAACAGTAAAGATTTGTATGCAGAAAAATGTTCATCAAATGAGCTTTATAAGGAGTTAATGTGCTGATGTTGTGTCAATAGCTTATTTCACATGTTCCCAAGTGGCTGGGAAGATGCAGAGTTGATCAATATACTGTTTGATCATTAAAATGTCAAATGCACATAGTGGCTATCATTTCCAAGACTTCAACATGAATCTTCAAATGACTAGCGATGTTCAAACTACCCTCAAAAATGCCACAGAAACCTTTTTATTAAATATAACAACAAATAAAAAATCTGCAAGTCTTTAAAGCTGAAACCAACAAATCATTGGTATTTTATGTCGTAAATGAAAATATAACACATGCAAAGATTCAGCAGATCGAACTGTTCAGTCCCTCAGGGGATAATTCAGATGTGCAGTGTTGTAAATCAAACTTCATAGCCAGTTTCATCCTTTGATTTTCATCTTGAATCATTATAGACTCTTAAAGCCATGTTGTCTGTACAGCTTTTGTTGCTGAACTTACCATGAGATCAGTAAATATACCGAAGGCAACATTGGGTAAGGATCACTGACTTGGTTTGGCTGAGACATTGCGACCATATGCTTATACCTCCAGTGTAGGAGGCAGGGAAACAGGGTTTTACGTTTTCTCTGCTTGGAAATCACTCATAAAGCTGCATTTCAGTGCAACTATTTATTTGGTTGACGTTACCGTGACACAGCATTAACTGTCCAATTCAAATAAAACCACACATTCCCACTCTCTGCCATGTTTTGCCTGCTGGCAGTTCACCTCATCCAGTCAGGGAGAGGGCAGTGCCAGCCTGAAGCGAGACACATGTAGTCTGCGTTAACTCTACAGTACCATCTGCTGAGGTTGTCAGCCATGTTCTGGTACATATGCACTGTCAGATGGATGTTGGTGTATTATGTCAGGGAGACTTCCTGCTTCTACTTATGTTACAGGAGGAGGAAATTCTGCATATTTTCAGAGGTAACTCAGACTCAATTATATGGGAAGGGATTTTTTTGTTTGCTTACGGAGCAGCCTTATCTCGATTCAATCACAAACAGCGAAGGTGACAACTGAGAGGAGGGGTGTAATCAAATATCTAACGCCCTCTGGTTATCCAACCCCAGAGGTAACTCGCTGTGGCTGCAAGCAAACAGCCATGCGGAAAATTCCCATTGAAAACAGCACCAAACCTGAGATGATTGATTGACTCGGAGGACAGACAGAGCAGATCAATCCATCATGCAGCACTCCTTTGGATTCCATGGTCTAAGACCCTATTTATTTCTGTAGCCGTTTGCAACAAATGGAAGGCACCATGGGGAATTATCTGAAGACAGGGTCAGTAGTTGCTTTATATTGTGTATTTTAAAGACTGATAAACATGCACAAGCTGAAATCTACAACAATTTAGGATCTTTCTAAATTTGCATTTGTGTGCATTGTAATGTGCTCAGTGCATTTAGTATCACACTTAATGCCCAGTGAGGCTGAGAAATAAAGAAAACAATTAACAATGTTTTATTTACAGGTGATGATGCATCAGATAATAACTTTACCAACAAGGATGAAGGGTTTGACAAACTCTTACTATCGGCACAATCTATGAAAGACACAGTGATAAAAAGCTTTTTATACTCTACAGGGTGCATCAGCCCTTAAATAAGCTACCCTGGGAGCTCCAAGAGCCTCTTGTAGGTTTACTACATTTGATTGACTGCTAATTTAAATTGTGGAGCATACCTCACCACTTAATTACAAAGTCAAAACAAGTTTTATGGATAACATCTAGTTTTAGGAGATTTAAATCATACAGACGACCAGGTGCTTGTGCGATATTGCGGCAGGATGCTATAGGGGAAGAAGGCAAGATGATGGAAGCAGCGCATTGCTTTAGATTATGCTCCCCAGGAGAACCATGGGTCCTGCCATTCTTATGGATGTTACTTTGACGCACATCACCTACGCTAATATTGTTGCAGACCAAGTTCACCCACTGATGCTCTGATGGTATCATCTTTGTGTCTGATACCACAGGACACCTTCACAGGTCCTGTGGACTCCACGCCTCATTGGGTAATTAATGTTTTGGTTCCAACAATTAAGACCTTCACAATATAACACAGGTGGTTTTATTGTTGCGGCTGATCAGTAAATGTGTGTGCAGGCGAGAAGAGAACACGGAAACCCATTAGTGAGACATTGGCTGTTGGATGTTCATTCATCATGGCTGTCACAGGCCAGTCAGCGTTGGTCAGGGGGGTTACATAAGACAGCCTGACTCCCCATGATCAATCACTCACTGCAGCCTGTGTGTGTATCGTGACACTGTTTCTCTGAAATGGAATAAACAGAGGAATTACACCACTGCTGAAATACTAGAGGAGAGTGGATGAGAGGTTATCTTTTTAGAAAACAAATGTTTTATTATGTTTTGCCCTGGACCTTTCATAACCAGGTCGATTCACACACCCACGAAAGCACATAAACTTTGCACGTAGCTGATATTGATGGCACACTGATTATAACACAACCACCGAGGAGATAGAGCCACATCAGGAATATGTTGTTATTATACCCACGGAATGTTCCGTAAAAGTGTATTTTTTATTGACAGAGCAGATATGTAAATAGCAACTCATTACTGGGCACAAATGTCCTGTATCTATTTGGTTCTTACAACCTGTTCAGGATTCAGAACATACATAGAAACCTAACAGCAAGGCCCAATTTGCAAGTGCACAGAAAAAAATGCAATATCTGGGCTCACCACAGCTGCATTCTAATGGAAACACAGCATGATATTGCTGGGCTCACACTGTTTCCCTTTTCCCCTCAACATAACCATACTTACTACATCTGATGTATATGTATCAAGACAATTACCTGTTAGTACAATCCCCCGGGGGGCTGGTTCAACAGCAACATTTCTGCTCTAATTTCATTTAACCAGCGTGTAGTGGACTAAGTGCATACAAAATGAATGCTGGGATTCT